CTTGAATACTGACGAGCTGGCCATTCGCCTAACGGAAATGCTTAGAAAAACGCTAACGCTTACGATTTCATTATGTTATTTCTAGCCGCCTGAGGTTTTCAAATGTCGCGAACTCTTTTTTTTTCTCTTGCATTAGTAATAAAAATATTAAAGAAAATGAGCGTGAGGTATATGAAAACCTTCGGCGGTCAGAAATAACAAAATAAAATCGAAAGCGTTAGAGTTTTTCTAAGCATTTCCGTTAGGCGAATGGCCCCCTGAGATGCAACGACATGCAACTTAATAAGGAATTTAAGTGACGTCTCTAAGTACGATTGCTAGATCTAGTTCACGCATAAATCTATAATACCAATTACCTAATCTATTATGCCGGAAATACAATTACCCTAATCATCAAATTCAGATCATCATTATGTTCAAATTGATTCACGAATTATAATATGATATAGGTATTGATTATGCTAACTCCCATGTTGGACTGGGAGCGAATAAAGATATAAAGCGTGCCAGCTCAAAACTTTTCCACACAGATAATTCTGTTATTTCTGAAACTAACATAAGCGATGGGCGATGGAACAATGCATTTTTGTAACCATTGAGTAGTTTCTTCGAATATCTTTAGATTATTTTGGTTGATAACTAACTTAATATTTATAAAGAAAGAAATATTACTAACCCATATTAAGTTTGTCTTGTTCTAAGTTTTTCTTCTACATATATTATTTTCAATAACAGTTTCTTAAAATTTGCCACGAAAAAGAAGGAACCTGTCTCAAACGTGGTCTCAAGCCGTTAGGAAAATGTTGGAATCAAGGTTGGAAGCAAATTCGTAGATTATTGGAGCTTTTCATATAATCATGCATCACTACATAGTATAAAGCAGTCGCTATAGATACAGTGATTCAAGATGAGGGATTATATGTATAATACATGCATAATATAGAGAAATACTGATAATTTTAGAGATTTTTAATGTAAGCTCGTAAATAGACACATTTTTTGCGCTTATATTGCAAACGCTGGCTTAACCCTACGAGATAGATCAAAATAATGTACCACAGTATTGTACACCTTAAAAAGGTCTACAAAAAAGTCTGCAATGGTATATGTCTATCTCTTAGGGATAACCCACAATAACCCATTTTTATCCTATACTTTTTACGAGAAATAATAGATTATTTACGAAGCAATTTTCAGCAATATAACATTCATCTTTATACAATTAACTACCTTAAATATATTGTAAAGTTAATATAGACCAATTTGGCCCTTTAACGCATGTAATTCGAATGAATATTTTCGGAGATATTACAGATTTAAAATGCAGAGACATAGCGGTTCCGACGCTACCAGGCGGCGCGTGGCTATAGTAATTAGGTATTAGAAGAATGTCATTGTGTATAATACAAGCCTGAGAACAAATATATAGTCTACACTACAGCTCTACACCGAAGCGAAGCGAGGGCGGGCCACTAGTATAATATAATACATACACAATTCATGAACATTTCTTTATTTAAAACACAACCTCTTTTGCTATCATTGACCGCAATCAAGAGAAGTTAAAAAAAGTTTGACGCCAAATGTCACACAAGCGTGTCAAAACCCTAACAAAATTTGTTCCGTCCAATTTTATGTTAAGCCAAACAAAACATTCCAATTTATTCTGTGTATTGCATTATAATTGTAGAAACGGCAATGTGTAGTTATTTTACAGGGAAACCATTTGTCACTTAGGAAAGTAATGAGTAAAGCAGATAGAAGAGACTTCGAAGACAGATACGCTGCTTGTTTTGTCGATTTTGCGGTGAAAACTAGTGAGTATTAATTAATATTTTTATATTAACACCTCGAGGAGCTCGATGGCGCAGGTAGCTAGCGCGTTCGGCTGCGATCGTTGAAGTTAAGCAACTTTCGCAGTGGTCGGTCATTGGATGGGTGACCAAAAATTTACTATCTCGAGCTCCTCCGTGCTTCGGAAGGCACGTTAAGCCGTTGGTCCCGGCTGCATTTGCAGTCGTTAGCACCCACCAATCCGCACTGGGCCCGCGTGGTGGGTCATGGCCCAATCTCCCTATTCCATCCATAGGGAAGGCCTTTGCCTCAGCAGTGGGGACATTAATAGGCTGATGATGATCATTAAACATCCTGAAGTACAAATGCTCGTTTTCAACACGCAAACATCTGCCCCCACCGGGTTCGAACCCGGTACTTGAGTAGGCGACACCTTGAAACTCGACTATAAAACCACTCGGCAGGTCGTGGGTCGGAGGCAGCTATACTATTAAATGTAAGTCGTCATTTCAAACTTCGAGTCGGAATTCACAGTGGGTTCTTGATTCGTAATTGAAAATCAATTTGACACTCTTGCATGTATTCAATGGAAATAGATAACTATGGTATGTATATATGTCAATAAGCATTGTTTTTATATAATCAATCAAAATGAGCTGTCAGCTTGTCGATGGCAGTGAAAGTTTTAAAAGCTAAACCATTTGTTATGTACATCGTCTTTGTACAGCGAAAACCCTGTAAATCGAGAAATTATCTTTATATATATAATTCTTCTGTGAGTGTGTATGTCACTGAACTTCTCTTAAACGACTGGACCGATTTTAATGAAATTTTTTGTGTGTGTTCAAGGGGATCTGAGAATGGTTTAGATTCACAATTTTGTCCGCTGGACAACCCCTATTTTTTTTAGGGCGGTACGAAGTTCGCTTGGTCAGCTAGTTTCTTAATATAAATTGACTGACATTTTGTCTGCGAAAGTCCATTCATATGTTTCCATTGATCCATTGCGTATAGAACTTATTATCACATTAATCTATTTAATAAAAACTGAAAAGAGGAGGACAGGTCCGGTGGTCTGTGGTTCTGTTGATGGGGAGCCGAGCTGCTTTGACGGTCGGGACCCATTATTGAAAAATATTATTTATTCTTGAATATCTAATGGGTCCCGACTGTTGAAGTGGCTTTGTTCCTTATTAACACAATTGTGGACTGCTGGACTTGTTTTTTTCTTTTCAGTTTTTATTTAAAGTATAATTAAGCAAAATAAAAAAAAAAAACAATTAATAGAAAAAAATAATCGAATTTTCGCAGACAAAAAACTGAGTCGATTTATATTTTCAACTTATTACGACTTACTGGGTTTTCGCAGTACAACAACGATAGTCGTTTACACCACTGTAATGCAGGCCTGTTATGATGGCACCCTCGGGTTCTTATCAACTTTGGAACGTTGAGCATTTGCATCGATTTTCACAATTATTAACAACTTCACTGTCCCCATACAATACAATTTCCGACTTCTCCACGTCCATGTTTTTTTTTCTTCGGTTTTGTTTCATGTTTTTATTTGTTCATAACAAAAGAAATAAAAACCTTTTGCGAAAGCAAATTTTTGTACATGAAAATTTAGGGTTTTTGCTATACGTTCACGTAATTTTATAAGTCTATTGAGCTACGCTCATGACGAAAAATCTTGCCAAAAAGTATCGAAAAATGAGTCACCCCTGACTCCTGAACTTATTCCAAAAGTGTCCAATGAGTCACATGTGACTCATTGGACAGTGAAGTTGTTAATCAATTTTGAGGCGAAACCTTTGAACAATTATAAAGAAACTGAGTGACTTGCGTGAGGGCCTGTCATAGAATGGTTGACGGAAAAGAGCTCATCCGAGCTTTGGTAATCAGGTTTACCAGTTGTTTGTCTCGGCTGCATCTGCAGTCGTTAGCACCGATGTGTCATCATCATCAGCCTATAAATGTCCCCACTGCTGGGGCACATGCCTTCCTTATGGATGGAATAGGGAGATTGCGGCTTAACGTGCCTTCCGAAGCACGGAGGAACTCGAGATAGTAATTTTTTGGTCACCCATCCAATGACCGACCACTGTGAAAGTTGATTGACTTCAACGATCGCAGCCGATCGCGCTAACCACTTGCGCCATCGAGCGCCTCGCCCGATGTGTGTCAGAGCCTAATCTTGCTATCCCAAGTATAGAGAAGGCCAGTACTCCAGCAGTAGCGACAATAATAGGTTAATGATGTTGACAAACGACTACCATCCATGTCACAAGAGAATTACAACTTCTACCTGTGAAGCGCCCGCCAGTGGCCCATGTTTATCGGGGGCGGGTTGGGCTTCGGCATGGCCTTAGCCAACTTTTTTTTTGAGTGTGAATGCTGTTGGTCGCAGATGACCTTTACAGCGTCATCAGGTTTGGGGACGGCGAGATCCTAAGGGGACCTCAAGCCGAGAATTGGCGAGTGCCTGTGGAGGTATTCCAGGCGGATGGCGTCTCCCCACGGGGAGAGTCTCCTCTCCGTCTGGAGCTTCTAGACCACTCGAACCTGAGGGGGTCGGCTCAACTAGAGGGCGTCTCTGAGACTCGGACCTCGGCTCTAGTTAGCCGTGAACATCCTTAATTTTTACCTCCTCTTTTTACATCGTAACTTTAACCAGAGCCTGATTAACCATTGCAGAGACGGTGTGATCTAATTGAATCTTTCAGTTCACAATTTATTTGTTTTATTTGTCAAACAGCGGTATTTGATGCTATTTGTAAATTTGAGAGAAGTCTCCTTTTCATTCCCTATAGAGCATCATAAAGATAATTATAATACTGTTAATTTTGCTAATACCTATGAACAGCCATGACAAATATTATCATAACAAAGAACGTGTGGCAGCAACATCTACACGCCCCACATATAACTAACATAGACGAAACAATCTTACGGAGGAGGCCCTCAAGAGATGGCACTACCGGCGCTGCGTTCACAACGTAAGGAAGCCTACATCGTGCAAGTAAAATTCGGTAGCCAACAGTTCATATATACGATGCCCGACCAACATCAGTCGGGCTGCGGCCCCCGTGCTAACATCACCCAGCTCGGAGGAAGATCTTCCCCTTTGGCCTTCCTACAAACGTTTGATTTGGATTTTTTTCTCCGTTGTCTACTTATCGATAGGTTTCCTATTCGGCAGCATCATGGGCAACTTCTTTAAATTAGAAATTAGCCACATCACAAAAAAAAACCCTCTTAGCGGTAGGTCTGCGCAACGCCCGCCGGTGGCCCATGTTCATCGGGGACGGACCATGTGAAATACTTACATAACAAAGAGAGTTTGATTTGGAATTTGTTCTCCTTTGTCTCCTTAGCGGTAGGTCTCCTAATCGGCAGCATGATGGGCAGCTTCTTCTTACGCAGCGCCCGCCGGTGGCCCATGTTCATCGGGGGCGGGTTGGGCTTCGGCATGGCCTACACGAACTGCGAGCACAGCCTCAACGACTACCTCCTCTCTATGGACCCTAAGGCTTGCGTCATCAAGTGAGTGCTTTGCATTTTTTATTTTATAGTATTCGGCCTATTTTACTTGCTTGTGACGTATTGATAGGCTTTTAAGAGCAAAATCAAAAAACCTGTCAAGTATGAATCGGATGCGGTAACGAAAGGCTCCGTGTTTTAGACACTTTAATATAATATCGAGCAAAAAAGTCAAGTCTGTGTATGAAACCGCCCTTAAATATTTATTTAATTCTGCTTTTAATATTTGTTGTTACAGAGGCAACAGAAATACATGATCTGTGAAAATTATAACTGTTTAGCTATCCCGGTTCATGAGATACGGCTTGGTGACAGATAGACAGACAAAAGGACAGTGGAGTCTTAGTAATAGGGTCCCATTTTTACCCTGTGGGTACAGAATCCTTAAACATATTATCACTGGTTCCTCCGCAAGATACGTTAAGCCTGTCTATACATACGGTCACGGCACAGCCAAAAGTAGGTCAATTTTATTTTTAATATTTTTTCCAGCTATCATGTAATGTTATAGGAGCGTTAAAAGGCGGGCAGAATTTTCTTTACTAAGTATAAAAACGGTAATAAATATAGATATATAATCAAAGCAAATTCAGCCTACATAGCTGAATAAAGGAACTCATTCATCAACTTTTTTTTATTTAGTGTTTCTAAACCTATTACTTAACTATAACTACATTGTTTTTTGCACACCTGCCTCAGGTAAAGAAGCAAAGAGTACCATAATCTTCATTAAAAGATTCAAGTTAAATTGCATATACTGTTTATGTTATGAAAAGAAAGGTTTCACAGTATAAGGAACTAAAAGCTCAATTGTAATTTTAAAATTTACACAAAAGCCAAAAAGTTCAAAACGAAAAGATTTCATTTAAGCAAATTTCTATGCCGCAAAAAGTACCGCTCAATAATTATCACAAAAGCAAAAAAAAAAACACTTCCATTCGCCACCCCAGTGTTCAAACAAAACAATCTATTCTTTTGGCAACAAGCAACAATCCTACAGGCAGCGAAATTGCGACCGGCGACAATACTATTACCGACCAGACATCAGAGACGGGAACTAATTACGACAATAAAATACTGAAAGAAGTCCCAAATGCAACGGTCATTTGGACTAGTAAAATAGTGGATATTGTGGGTGTAGGTAGTAAATAACGCTCGGGACGAATAAAAGACGACACTTTGAAAATTGCGAATGAGTTGTAATTAATATTGACCATTGTTAATTGTTCATTTAAAGTCTGTTGTTGTTTTTTCTTGGCTGTACCGTTCATGACATAAAGGTTAAGCACGTTATTTTGTAAGCTAGCAATCCCCCCAGCTTCGCTTGTTGCAATAAATTGATAATCTGTAAGCGTTAAGATTACAACACAAACCAAACATAAATCCCAAGTTTTTGGTGATTTCTAAGTGAGTTTACAAATAATTTGTCGCTAGCAAACCTTGCTCTGATCATAAAGAAAACACGAAAAAATCATTAACAAATTTCTTGCAATTTTTCAAAATTGTACGTGCCTATGTTAGGGTAATAAACTTTTATTTTAAAAGATTAGTAAGCTATTGGGAAATCGGATAAACAGTATTCGAAATAATAGTTAATTGTAAAGACAATAAACTTTATTATAATAAGGAATGTACAAAATAATAAAAACTTCGATTATAATTTATACCTATGTACTTTTTTTAATACAGGAGGTTAAATCATCGCAATTTTAAGCAATTAACCAACGGATATCAACGATAATAAATAATAGCTACTCATTTTCGTGTCCAATTACAATTTCGGCTTCCTTTATCATTGTGTATCTGTTACAACTGAAGGAAGCATCGATTTACAACCCCATTAAGAATCTTCACAAAAGCCAGCCAAACGGTCAGCGCTCACTTTATTTCTCATTCTCCAAGGCAGCGGGATACTTCCCTTCAATCTTTGTCGTCGCTACAAAGGTCAGTTGCGTTCACAAGAGTAAGTTTTATAGTTTCTACGTCTATGTTTACCGTGCCGGCACTGTACCGCCTTCCTTTTCATAATTATGTGAAATCGCTTCGTTGTTTGCAAACGCACCGCCTATACTCTCTTCGCCACCCACCGAGCTTTTTATATCAACATCCTAAAATTTAACAGATCTTATTGCACTACGGTAAGGTTCATATTCAATATCCACTCCTGTACTGACCGGTGGATCGTCATCTGTTTCGTTTTCAATATTTTCATCGGCTCCGAACGTTTCAATCGCCTGTGAGTCATACACCGCTTTGAAGTTCCTTTCTATGGCTTTTTTTTTAAATTTAGCTCTGCGTCAATTACATTTAAACTGTGGAATTGTTGGCTGTTCTCGCTCTGGTTTCGAAGGCTAGGACAATGGGACTGGAGGCAATAGGCTTGCGAACACCCCTATTGTCGGCCAAATTGGTTTCGGACTTCGCAACAGTTTCATTTGATACGCTGTACCATCGCTTGTTTTTTTTTTACGATTCAATATAAAATATGTGGATAAAGGTTTTGTTTCTGACAAACGCTTTTCACTGAGGAAAATTAATTTGTCCCTTTATTCGGTGTAGCATGAAACATTTTATAAAGCTTTTCAATTTACCTGTGTAGTTGAGTTCTATCAAAATAAAAAACAAACAAGCGACATTTATGTAAGTAATAGGAAACACAAAACAATAGGCGTTCAAAGTAATTAAGATTTTTATAAAAAGTTTTGCAGTTGACGTTGAACAGCTGTCAATGAATAGTTGATGAGAGTCATGTTTATATATTCATCATCATCATTATCATCAGCCTATTAATGTTCCCACTGCTGGGTCACAGGCCTTCCCTATGGATGGAATAGGGAGATTGGGCCGTGACCCACCACGCGGGCCCAGTGCGGAATGGTGAGTGCTAAAGACTGCAGATGCAGCCTTGACCAACGGCTCAATGTGCCTTCCGAAACACGGAGGAACTCGAGATAGAATATATTTGGTCACCCATCCAATGACCGACCAGTGCGAAAGTTGCTTAACTTCAATGATCGCAGCCGAACGCGCTAACCACCCGCGCCAACAAGCTCCTCTAATATTCTATGCCGCTATAGTTTATAATTTATGCTACTATTATTAATATTCTTGATATTTTTATGTAATTGATATGGCTAAATGGCTGGAATAAATGAATTGAATTGAATAATAGATTGGATAATATCATAAATGTGACAGTGTATCCGTCTTTCTATGTGTCTGTTACCCCTTCACGATTAACCTGAAATTTGGTATAGACATGGTTTGTATCCCGGGAAAGGACATAGAATAGTCTTTATCACAGAGATCTTTCTTTTTTGAGAAGGTAAAAAAAAGGGGGGATAGTTTGTATGGGATATCAATTTTCCACGCAGCCAAAGTCACGGACATTCACTAGTTATAAATATTTTTCTCCCTTTTTTAATATTGATTTTATTGCTTTGCAATGAGTAGTAAAGAATTGTTTAATGTTTTATTTAACGAATTATGTATGACTAACCATATATATCGCAACGCTCCAAACAAGACTGAATGTATTTAAGAGTTGGGTGCGGGAACATTATTTAAATCTATCGCATAGTGTTTAAGATTCCAAAAATCGGACACTATATTATAAGTACATTATGTAGTTATTTATGTATATATGTGTGTGTGTCTGTATGCATATTTAATACACTAGCGGCCCGCCCTCGCTTCGCTTCGGTGTAGAGCTGAAGTGTAGACTACAGTTTTTGTTCTCAGGCTTGTATTATACACAATGACATTCATCTATGATTCTTCTTATACCTGCATGCAAAGTCTCAGCCCGATCGGTTTAAAATTGACAAAGTTTCATACAAACTTTCATTCCCTATTTTATCCCCTTGGGGGTAGAATTGATCAAAATCCTTTCTTAGCGGATGCCTACGTCATAACATCTACCTGCATGCCAAATTTCAGCCCGATCCGTCCAGTGGTTTGGGCTGTGCGTTGATAGATCACTATGCCAGTCAGTCACCTTTGAGTTTTATATGTATAATAGATGTATGTTTGTATGTGTGTATATGTGTATGTATTAAACGGTATTTAATTTCGTTTTCTCATTGTTTGATGTTTGCTCTTTTCTATGATTGTATGCCGTTTTATTGACTCTGCACGTTCTTACCGGTTGACTGGTAAAGAATTCCATGCTGGCATTAAGTCCGCCGTATGTAATATAAAGGCATTTAAGAATAAATAAAATAAATAAATAAATTTGCATAAATAAATATTTGTATTGATATTACTTTTAACTTTACGATAAATATACTTACATAAAGTTAATTAAAATGATAACCTTTCTTTGATCTAAAGAAAATATAACTAGAAAAAAATTCATTTGACATTGTGGGTTACCTATAACGCGAAGAGATGGCGCTGCCTTGCAGCTTAAGAATGGCTAGAGGAATTTCGACGCGGTCCGTGAGGGCCGCGGTAGCATAATTGGTCAGTGCATTCGCCCGGATTGCGAAGGGTGCGGGTTCGAGTCCCGTCTGCTGCCTGGTCCGCGTGGAATTTTTTCTAGTTATATTTTCTTTAGATTTAAACATCAAGCAGATACATGCTTTAAAATTATAAAAAATATAAAATTTCTTTGTTTCAGAAAACAACCGTAACTGTGGCAGAAATCATACAACACCGATCAAAATATAAAATTCAACTTGTAAAAATGTGATTATGTAGTTTTAAATACAAACTTATCTAGTTGAACACTCGCCGTGTTTTCATTGTTTACAGATAGTTTATTTATAATGCGATTCAAATAAGAATAGGAAAGCCAATGACCTCCATCTGCCAAATGTCGCTTGAAAAGTACGGTTTGCAAAAAAATCTCGGAACACTTTTTTTGCACTCGGCTGATTCTAGAATTACAAATCAAACATGTTTAAAAAAACAATAAAAAATGCTGATAATTAATATTAGTTGTTTTTTTTTTTTCATTTATTGAGCTTTGGCTATGAATGGTTGATAACCTAAATCTTCAACCAAATGTCACTTTATGCTGCGTTCAGAAACTCGATTTTAAACTTTCTTTTTCATATAGGATGCATTTTAGTATGTGCCCTGCATGATTATTAATAACTTCTCCGGCGGTAATGCAGAGATGAGCGAAATTGTAGAGCTAGATTCTGATTAATGTTTCTTTTCACACAGTCTTAATAAAAAAATACTATTAAAAATCGGTTGTGTTCTTTCTCAACCTTAGTAAATTAATTTAATTAAAAAATCTGATGTTTTGTATCACTTAATCTTAGTAAATAAGTTTTATTAAATAGCAACATTTTTTTTGCTCACTCTACCTATTTGGTTTGAATTGACAGCTATGACGTCAAAATATGGCGCCCAGTCGCTCCTATTCTTAGTTGAATCGCATTATATATCCGTATTTACTCTATGAACTGTTAGATATGCCTATTGGAATATTATAGCAATCAAAGGAACAGCACGTAGAGGTTTTAAAGTAAAGTGCCATGCAAATATTGATTCTGTACTAATGCTTAGAAGTTTCTAATGACGTTTACTTTTTTTTTCGCCAAAGAGCCTAGCCCCAAAGTAAGCACTGTAAGGCTTGTGTTATGGAACACCAAGGTATAATGGATAGAATACATATACAGATACATTTATAAGTATATTTATATAGAAAATATATATCATACATCCATGACTGGAGTACAAATGCTCGTATTCATCACACAAACATCTACCCCCACCGGGTTCGAACCCGGGACCTCTCGAGTCGGCGACACCATGTAACCCGGCGTACAAACCACTCGACCACGGAGGTCGTCAAACTTGAAAACTTTTTATATTAACAACATTTTCTAACTGTTACATAAATATAAATAAAATACATGAGTGATTAGCAGAGATAAATAAATATTTTGAACACTACACCAGTTAGCATACATATCTAGGTATTTTTATCAAGAAATCAATATAGACATCTTTGCCTCTGAGTTGGCGACACCTTGGAAAGAATATAGCTAAGCTTAGTGAGATTCTTCATCCAAGCAAAATAGATAAAATTAATAATATCCAATTATACAGACCTAACACATGAGAGGAGAGATTTTTTTTTTTAAATACAAACCTAGTAATAATAATCATGTTTATTGACATATTATTTTATTTTTATTGACATATTTATTAATTTTAATTATTGACCAATTTAATATAATTTTATAAATAATTTCCATTTCTATTATATTTCTACTCTTAATAAGATCAATTGAGTAAGTTATATTGTTAAACAAATGGAATCAGATGACATTTATGCATAATTTGAGATTTAAGTGGTTTAATACAAATTAGGTTCCTTATATACATAACTGTTTATTAATTAGATGCTTTTGTAATTTTTATCTTTAACTGTACTGTGTATTGCGATACCCTGACAGGGTTCATGTTAGGTACTATAAGCATTTTGTAACCATCGATGTAACCACATGAGTGCAATAAATTGAATTGAATTGAATTGAATTGAGAATGGGGCTTAAATATGATTAGCTTTTAAAGAACTTTGGTGCAAGAGGGACTTATATACATTAAACAAGCTCTTGATTGTAAAACCCCTCAGGTTCGAGTGGTCTAGTGGCTCCAGATGGAGAGGAGACCACGTGGGTAGATGCCATCCGCCTGGAATACCTCTAGAGGCACTCGCCAATTCTCGGCTTGAGGACCCCTTAGGATCTCGCCGTCCCCAAACCCAGTAATGCTGTAAAG